CCTTCTCTGAACCCCTCCTCCTTGCCAAGAAAACCTCATCTGCAACACAAGGGGTAGCTAGCTAGCTAGTGGCTGTTGGGCAATGGCAGGATTCTCACACCTCCCGCAGCAGATGGAGTATGGCCTCACCAATGCCGGCAGCTTCTTGCTCTGCCATGGCAATCCTGAAGATGCAGCCGCCTCACTGGAGGGCTCGTCTGGTGTTCTTGACACTCCTCTTGTGGCCACCGCTTCTGTGGAGAAGAAGAGGAAGCCCAAGGAAGACACCGCCAGCCTCAACTCTGCACACTCCAAGGTACTCCATGGCATATATGGAAGCTTCCATGATTGTTTTGAAACATATTTATCATTATTGCTGTTGCTTATGGATAGTATTGTTTTTGGCTGAAAAATAATTTAGGAAACCAAGGAGAGTACCAGGAAGAGGGGAGGCAAAAAGCAGGGCAAGGAGGTGGATGAGGAGGAAGAGGAACCAAAGGGGTACATCCATGTGAGGGCGAGGAGAGGGCAGGCAACAGATAGCCACAGCCTTTCAGAGAGGGTACTGCTCTTCTTCACTATCTTTTCTCTTGTGTGGTTGTAGCTATCTTAGCTTTTGTTTTTGGGGCCTGTTTTTGTTACTCATATGCTGTGGCATTTTGTTTTCTTGCTTCAGGTGAGGAGGGAGAGGATCAGTGAGAGGATGAGGATGCTGCAGTCCCTGGTCCCTGGCTGTGACAAGGTTATAAGTTAGTTGACCATTCCTAATTAGAATCACCACTGCACTTGAAATAACTTGTTGTGCATGGCATGGGGTACTAACTTTGGAAGGAAAAATGTGCACTGATTTGTGTATAGGTCACTGGTAAGGCTCTCATTTTGGATGAGATCATCAACTATGTGCAGTCACTGCAAAACCAAGTTGAGGTACCCAAGTTAGAAAAAACTATCAATCAATATTTATATATAGGAAAAGCACTCAAGTTAATTAACAAGTTCTCATTTGTCATTCAGTTCCTGTCCATGAGGATTGCTTCCCTGAGCCCTGTGGTGTATGGTTTTGGCATGGAGAGTGGGGCTGCCTTCAGTGACCAATCACAAGTATGCATGGGTTAATCAATATGCAAGCTCAAATAAATATAATCATTGTGATAGACCATATATTTTTCTCTATCTTTCTTATTCAAAAACTTACACCTTTTGAGAATAACTTTGTTGTTTCAGAAGATTGAAGGCATGTTCCATGAGGCAGCGGCATTGCCTACTGGTCCTCCCATGAACAGATCATCTAGCCCAGCTCCATCTCAGGCCATGATGGACACAGGCACCTCCTCCTCCTCCCCACCCTACTCACTTCAAGGCACCCAGGTTTGGCCACTTTCTCTCTCTCTCTCTCTCTCTCTCTCTCTCTACATGATCGATCATTCAGGACCCAATTCCAAAGCACTGTTGAATGTACATGCCTGCCGTGCTGATGAGGCTGCCCATGTGTGCATGATTTCCCAGGACAACGGCAGCAGCAGCAGCAGCTACATGATGCAAACAGTAGGTGAGCCAAGGCACGAACTGTTCAATCAAGTGATGTTCAGTAACTACATGTGCTCCTTCCAGCAGTGAAAGGGAGGACCCTACATTTGACAACGTCTAGGTAAAGTGACATGATTCTGCACTTAAGTTTCAGTAAAAGTAGGCATCATACCACTGTGAAACTAAAATTAATTACTAGTAGCATCCTGTGCAATGCACACATCTTTGTGCAATATAAAAATAGTAATACAGTACTTGATACTCCGATAATCTTTTTACCCAGATGATTAGTTCTAATCTGATCTGTATATATGCTCTCTCTCTTTGCGTTTGTGATTAGCAGGGGAGGAAATAATGCTGGCCAGGGTGGTGACTGAGTTGAAGCACCAGATGAGTTTGAGATGTTGGATGATCTAGTGATCCATCCCCTTGTCTGGTGGCATGCATGCAACAGTAGAGATCAGTGAAGTACTAGCAACTAGAGTTATTAATTGATTAGCAGTAGAACCAGAGAGGCTTGTGTTGTACTAGTAGCTAGCATCTTTCCAAGTGATATGCCTTGCCATCGCCCGTTGTACTCTACTAGCTTAGACAAAAGATGTTTATGATTGGATCATTTGTTTATATAAAAGAGGGCCATTTCTGCTGTGACAAAAGACAATTGACTCTTGGACAAAAACTGTTTCAGTTAATCTCACTTCTGAACATACAGTACTGTTTCAGCTCTAATATTTTCACGCACCTAGCTACTTGTAAAACTCTGGTCCCAATGGACCTGGATGTGAAAAAATAATTTAGAAATTCAAAGAGTGAAAAACTCCTGCAACTTTTTGAAATCAAACAGGGATCCGGTATTAAACTCGTGGAAAAAGTTCTGCGAAGAAATAGCTTCGACCGGTTCCATTGCCAAAAAAATAAAAAATTGTGAGTACAAAAACATGAATAGTAACTTTTATATAGTGTTGATTTTGTTTTTTCCGCACAGAACACCATGAAAGTCATTCATTCGGAAAACTTTTCACGCGAGTGTAACACATGATCATGTTCGATTAAAAAAATCGGAATTTTTGCAAGTCCTTTTGAATTTTCTAAATTATTTTTTTTCAATTCAGGTGCATTGGAACCCGAGATCCAAAGATTCACGTCGCATTTTACACTGGTAATTGAGGTGGGAGTAAATGTAGCTGTGGCATTAGGTAGAGGTCCCTCCCTGCATGGGCATTCAAACTAGTAGCAGGCTAGCTCTCGTTCTTCTTCAGATTGATTGGAGATGGACCTGTACGTAGGAGTACGTACGTACATCCCGAACAGTTTTGTGTGAACCCTAAATGCAACAGCATAGTAGTAGTACACAGTTACACACCGCCTCTTCCGATCCACCAACATTATTGGCTATAGTGGCCCCTCTAATCACGATTTGTTGTGTTTGACGAAAGAGAAACCGGACACATCGCACGATCTGTCATGTCGGCCATTGCATCACAGCCTTCACGTCACGTAACTTTCATATGAGCTGGTGGAAAATGGCGAGAATATATAACAAAGCTGAAAAAAAAACACTTAACTGTACGGTGAGATTGTGCATCAGTCCAATGTACTTTCACCGAGACGGTCCATTTATCTCTCTACTAAAGAAAAATGTAAAGTTCCCATTTCACTTTCTTCCCACCACCCTTCATGTATATGATAATCAATCACCTTACCTTCTAAACCAATTCCACTTTAACTTACTTATCAAATTTTAATCAAAATATGAGGTAATTCACGGACAGAATTTAATGAACATTTATTTACACAATCGCACTATTATTGACAGGTAAATCACAAGCTAATGTATTAGAATAATTATATCCCGTTGCAACACACGTGCATTGTTCTAGCCAATATAAAAAGACTCAAAGAGGCAAATTCAATTAATAATTATCAAATCATGTCAATCCAACGATCTAAATTGCTCTAACGGTGAGTGCTCAACATATTTATTGTGCAATTAGTATCATATCCAACATTAACATATCATTAAATAATTAATATGTAATTGATATCCTACCTAATATATTAACATGCAGATAATTTCGTCCCTAACATCAACGTGCATTGCATGTACACATTTACTTTTTTTTAACACTCAAGCGCTCATATATACGCGCATACACTCACTCCTATGAATGCACATACGCACACCCTACCCTTATGAGCACCTCCGAGAGACTCAGCCGACATATCATCTGAAATAAATTCAGGATAAATGCAAGTATCAGGACTTGAACCCTGGTGGGCTGGGGATATCACTGTCGTCCTAACCATCCAACCATAGGTTGGTTCGCACGTACGCATTTACTAGTATATATAAATAAGCGGTACTTCGGATTCACGTGAAATGTGTCATATGAATTTGCAATTTGTGAAATATGACTTGTAGTGCACTGATTTTGTATTTGTTTGAGATGCACATGAGTTCTAGGATGAATATGAATGTTACTTTGAAATGGGCTTCTATGCATGGGCACATTGAGATAGTACATATTCAACAATAATACCTTCTAGAAACATTACTGTCAATATGTAAACAATAAAAATCATCCACGGCAAACACAATCGTTGATGGACATTTGAGCAAACCCGTACAAACTAACATAACATACGAGCTTTCGCAGTTTGCTTGTCAAATATGTATAGATCTCGTTGACGGGCTTTTACATGCCAATAATGAACATCGTGTTCGGTGTGGTAAAACCTGTTGCGGTGGGGTTTTTGCCCATCAGAGTTGGACCAGCCCACAATAGTGAAATGTATTAACCTATTAGAAATTAGAAATTAGGCTTCTCATAGTGGGGAGTATCATAGTATCATGCATGTTACTAACTTCATAGTACATATTATAGGTCAATGTTTTAAATGATTTCATTTATTGTTGTTCTATATGACACATAGTGATACATATTGTGATACGGTATCATAATATGATACTAGCATGTTCTATTTCTCAATTAGTACTATGTCGTGTTTGCAATATGCATATTTGGCTTTGCATTGTGATTCATGATAGTACTGGATTATGATATCCACTATTCTCTATGGGAGATCTTAAGTAGAAAGTAGTGCAGAAGAGAGCATTAACAAACACGGTAGATTCTAAGTTACACACTTTCCCTCACTCTAGAACATTCTATCTATGTGTTCTAAGTGATGTGTATTGCATTCTAGACATAGGAACACATATATAAGTTGGTGAGTTAGTAATTGTCCCGAAAGAGGTACCATATTGTATACTTTTTTTTAAATGATGTACGCAAAAAGGTAAAACATATGTCAAAAATTGATGTGGACTTCATAGATAAAGATGTTTGCGTAGAAATTAATTAGTCCCCAAGGAAAAGATGACTTGGCATTAAAATAAATAATAGTCAATTAGTAGTTACGAAGAGGTGGTATGACTCCTCCATTTGTGTTCCTTCTGTCCCTCGAGATTATGTTTCGCAAAATTTACCACATGATAACATAAACAAGATTATGTTTTATTCTCGTAGGCACAAATAGATAAGTCCTCTAAAATAATAAAATCAATAGAAAATACCATTAAATTACAAACAAATACACATGTTTTTGACACACAATAAGACTATTGCTGCCAGAAGCATGCATATTTAAAATAAAACATGTTAAATGAAGCTACTTTTATGGTCCAGATCAGAGCCATATGGTTAAAGGAAATGATAGGGCTGGGTGACATTAGTGTGAAACAAATTATCTTGTATGGCTCGAATCAAATCATTCGAATATATTGATGGCAGGTTGGCATCGACATGATAGATAACCCAACAAAGGATAGAGAGATGTTGTGTTTTATGGTATTGTTTACACAAAGACTTGACACTTGTATTTTTTATTTTGTTGGGTGAAATTATCTATGAATATTTGCAAGTAGGTGTTGAGACTTTAGATGTTTACTTTGATACATTTTGGTTGCTTGTATTAGGTGATATCCTTGTGAATTGTTAGTTTTTAGCAAATGGCATAAGTAAGTCATGAGCTTCACGAGCTTGGGCTTAGTTGTTTCACGTCTGAGTGGAGCCACAAGCCTCAAAGCTTTGTTTCAACCACTATTGGCCAGTGGCGAGTTCTAGTAGTTGGCTCTTTTTGTTGTTGTTGCAGTTCATATACTAGGGGATAACGAGGTCGAGGTCCCAATGGTTGCGACCAGAGCTTAGGGTCTTGATTTCATTGGTTTGATATATAGGGGTATTGATGTTGCTGGCTTGATCTAGGTGTCTTGAGTCGTTGGCTTGATCTAGGGGTGATAATCCCTAAGTGCAGGGAATCATCGTAGCAATTTCCAAAGGTAGAAGTGATAAGTATGGAGTGTAAAACCCACAAGGAGCTAAAGGTAAGATCAATATTCTCTTAAGTCCTATCTGCCACTGATATGACTCTACGTACACCAAACGTTTGCTCCCAACTAGAAACGAGAAGTAAAACTATGGTGTGGGTATGAAGAGGATAACTTTATATGATATCGGAGAGCTAAAATATAAAAGTAGGTGTTGTTATCATAAAGTTAGAATATATTACTTAAGTATTATAAATAGCGAGTGTGGAATAATGATGGGTCGGTGTGCGGAATTTTCCCAAGCAATTGTTAACAAGATCGGTAATCATTATTGCAATTTCATATGAGGGAGAGCCATAAGCTAACATACTTTCTCTTCTAGGATCATATATGCACTTATGATTGGAACTCTAGCAAGCATCCGCAACTTCTAAAGATCATTAAAGGAAAACCCAACCATATCATTAACATATCAAGTCCCCTTTATCCCATACACAACAACCCCCTTACTCGGGTTTATGCTTCTGTCACTCAAGCAACCCACTATAAGTGAATCATGAACGTATTGCAACACCCTACAGCGGGAATCCCTCATGCATGCGCGACACGGAGGGCACAATAGGACAACACCAAAATAAAACATACAACGCATACCAATCTAGATCATCAATCAACCCAGGGACAAAGGATATCTACTCAAAACATCATAGGATGGCAACACGTCATTGGATAAAAATATGTGGCATAAAGCACCATCTTC